AAAAAAAATGCTTATAAAAAGTTATCCAAATTATTAATTACTAACAATTATATAATTAATTTGAAATCTAATCTATCACTATATAAAAAGAACTAGTACGTACCCCCCGTGCGATGCACGGGCTGTATTTATTTTGGTAAAATTTATAATTGAAGGTTATTAATCAATAAGTTATAATACATAGAACATTTGTTAGGTAATCGTAAAATGGTCATCATGAAAAAATCATACTTTATTAAAAAGCTCTTTGTTTTTCCATGCAAAATTATTTTTCACTTGGTAACCGTAAATCGATATTTACCAAGATTGTTCTCTACTTGGTAATTGTGAATTGCATAGACACCTCATTCCTTCATTTTTTTGTTGATTTTCGAAATGTTACCACCATGAAATAAAACTATAGTGAAAATATGTAATATTGTGGTAGATACTAAAGATATGATTATCTGGTGGAGTTCAATTTTATATCGAGTATAAGGAAAATTGTTACCTTAAAGTTAAAGTGTGGATTTTGAGTATATCTTTATTTATTTAATTTTTTTTTGTGTCAATCATTCTCATTTTTTATGCCAAATTCATTCCAAAAATTGAGAACGATTTTGTTTTGTTATGTTTTAACAGAGATTTGGAATTTTGGTTGTATCTTTTGTAAAACATATTTATAAAAATAATTACGTTTAAAATTTATAGATAAAAAATAACTTAATGAATCGAAGGACATGTAAATCACGGTTTTTAAATGAAAAATATGTTTCATAAAAAAAGTGATAAGAAAATGATTCAAAATGATAAAAAGAAAATCGTATATTATAACAAAAAGAAGTTTACATGAGTAGAGGATTAGAGAATCGAAAATTGTGACAATTTTAAAAAACATGTTACCATGATTGAAATGAAATCTTTAGAATATTTTTTACTTTTAGTTAAGTTGCATATATTGCATAACTATATATGAAAAAAAACAAAATATTTAAAATTCAAATAGGCGATTTATTTATATGTATATAATAAAGTGTACAGTCTAAATAATTAAATTTTATTTAGCATTTATATTGTTAATATTGATACCGTGATTATTATTGTAAAGTCCAACTCTCATTTTTACTGTAAATTTATATTATATTAAAATGAATTGATAAGTCTAAAAAGATATATGGATTGAATTAAAAAGATTGAATCGTGTTAAATATCTTGATATCATAATTATACTGTTTTTAAAAAGATATTCCATAACATTTGGTTCCATAATAATACTGCGTTTAAATATAATTTATTCCAAATAGCTGAATTTATTGTTTAATCAAATATTATGGAATATCTTTTAAAAAATATCTAATTATTAAATTATTTTTTGTTTCTTATTTATATTTTATTTTTATTTTTGCCAATTGACAATATTATGTTTTATCACATTGTGCACACAGATAATTGTTTTGATATAAAGTTCTGAACTTAACAAATATCTTATGTGGTTCACAATCCATATAAACAATTGACATTAGTCAAAATTCATGTGATAATAACATTTATGCATTGTAAATGCTCTTATTTTGTTTTAAATAATTTCAAATATACTTCTATTAATTCCAAATAAAATTCATACTACTTAAATTCGAACATTTCGTACCAAAAATAAACCACCCACTTTATACCACAAAATCAGACATTTATTATTAACAACACATTTTCTATGAAAAAATAAAAATGGCTATCAGATACTTAAAATAAAATCATCAACTTTGTACCAAAATTGGATTTATTAATTTTTTTGACTTTATACCATAAATTAATTAAGCATTTTCTAAAAGTCATTTCTACATTTTGTCAAAAATATTTTTTAGCGACACATAAATGTTATTTATATTTTTGTCACTACAAAAAAATAGAGTTCTAGTGAAGAATTTTTTTGTCACTATATCTACAATTATTGTCACTATATCTACTGTCAGTATATCTACAATTGTTGTCACTATATCTACCATTATTGTCACTATATCTACAATTGTTGTAGATATAGTGACAACAACTGTAGATATAGTGACAACATAGTGACAAAAGAATTCGTCACTAGAACTCGATTTTCTTGTAGTGTGTATTTGGTTATCTTGTCTACGAAGAAAAAGATAATCTTGCAACTCTACTATACCAACAAAAAGAGGTATGAAAAATAATATAAGTATTAGTTTATTATGTTTTACTCAATACATGAAATATATATAAAGATTAACGATTAATTCTCTATAGTTGCTCAATCAAGTCTATATATTTAAACTAAGGATTTTGAAAGTTTCTATTTTTTTTTCCCAAAACGGCGGAGGTAATATCCTAAAACTCAAAGAGAACATAGTCCTAATACAAAGTTCAACATACAAATAATAACCGCAATAGAAACATGGGAGACACACCCAAAGGTGGTCTAAAGCCTCAACAAGAGGAGAATCACACCAAACCAGAAAAACTAACTAAAAGCACAAATTCCCCTACTACTAGAAGCCTAGAGAGGAAGCTGAAACCAAAAATAGAAAGAAGAACAAAAAATAATCTATACTAATCAAACCAGCAGACCAAAGGCAGACAAGTAGTGAATCCAATCATCATGAGCCACCTTTATCACTGTTGTTGCTGGCATCTTGGAGTTCTGAAAAACCCATATATTCCTTGACTTCCAAAGCCACCAAAGGATGTATGTGGAGAGTTGAATCCTTGCTTCGGCTACTTCGGAGTTATCAAGGGAACAAACTTTAAACCACCAAGCTTTGAAAGAGTCTCTGAAGCAAGCAATTCCATCCCAAGACACTGGAGACAATTCCCAAACTCTCAAAGCTCTAGAGCAATTCAACAGAACATGCTCAATTGTTTCAGTAAATTCTCCACAAAGAGAGCAAATATGATCAATGTTGACTTTCCTTTTCTTCAGCAAGCTGGCAACAGGTAAAGTACCTGTTAAACACTTCCAAAGGAAGTGCTTGAGCTTCCCAGTGACTTTAATCTTCCAGAATCTGAATTGAACAGATTTGCTTATAGAAGTGCATCAGCTACTTTCACGAATGTCCAACTGAGCAAGTTTGATGTTTGAGAGCTGTTTATAAGCACTTGATACAGTTAATTGGCCTTTTTTGTCAAGTCCCCAATAAATTCTGTCAGCTCTATTTGGGTTGAGGGATGAAATGCTGAGAATGGCTTCACTATCAATGCTGTCAAAGACTTGCCTTACAAACATTCCAGGAGGAGCCATCAGGGGTTAGAAGATCTTTAACCCATAAGAGACAGTCTCTAGCTAATGGAATAAGAGTGGGAGATGGTTTCTGAAGGTTAGGAACCCAGTTAAAGTCAGCTATTTGGGTGGACATACCATTCCTCACTTCAACCTTCAACCACTTTGCAAAAAAAAGAATAACCTCCATCCATGAGTTCCACATCCATGATCCTTTCTGAGGTTTTGTTGCATGAGTAATGGCAGACTGTGGGAAGTATCTGTCTTTCACCAGCCTACTTACCAGAAGGTTTGGGTTTGAAGCAATTCTCCAAAGTTGCTTGCATATAAGAGCTTGATTAAAAACTTGGAGGTCCAAAAAGCCTAGTCCTCCATCCCCTTTTGGTAAAGTAAGCATACTCCATTTCCTCCAGTGAATTCCTTTGGTTTGCTGATCATTTGTTTGCCACTAGAAATTAGCACAAAGTTGAGATATTTCTGCACAAAGAGTAATGGGCAATTTGAAACATGACATTGTAAAGATTGGCAAAGCTTGGGCTACAGATTTGAGTAACACTTCTTTTCCAGCTGGGCTGAGAAGTTTGGATTTCCAGCTTTGTAATTTGCCTCTGACAGATTGAAGAAGATACTCAAATACTTCCTTTTTTGATTTGCCTATTCTCAGAAGAAGACCCAAATTTCTAGTGGATCTGTGGGAAGTGATGCCATTGAGAGTGGAGCAAATAGTCAGCTGAAGTGGCTGTGGAGTATTTCTACTGAAGAAGATTGCTGATTTGCTCATATTCATAGCTTGGCCTGTAAAAAGTCTATATCTTTCAAGCAGAGTCATGAGAACATTGGCCTGATCTGCTCCTGCCTTGCAAAAGAAAAAAGAATCGTCTGCAAATAAGAGGTGAGTGAGCAAAGGACCATTTCTAGAGAGTTTAAGACCTCTGAGCTGTCCCTTTCCACAGAGTCAAGAATAAGGGCTGTGAGCAGTTCGGCAACAATGATGAATAAGTAAGGGGACAAAGGGTCCCCTTGTCTTATGCCTCTAGAAGGGGTGACAAACCTGTTCACAGTTCCATTAATTTTGAAAGAAAAAGAGGCAGTGGAAATGCATATCATGATCCATCTGACAAAGTCCATGTGAAATCCATTTTCAGCATAATGTCATGGACACACCTCCATTCTACTCTAACAAAGGCTTTGATCAAGTCTAGTTTAAGAGCCATGAAGTAATTGGATCCTGAAGTGTGTCTATTCAAGAAATGGAATGCTTCTTGAGCAACTATAACATTATCCATCAGCTGTCTGCCCTCCACAAAGGCAGATTGGAAATCACTTATACAGTTCTTCAGACAAGCTTTTAATCTTTGAGCTAGCACTTTGGAGATGATTTGATAAACAACAGTACACAAGCTTATGGGTCTAAACTGCCCCAAAGTTTCTGGATTTTGACATTTTGGGATCAGAGAAAGAACAGTGTGATTCCAATAACTTAGGAGAGTACCTGATTGAAAAAAGTTGTGAATTACACTTAGAAGATCGGATTTGATCAATTCCCAGAAATGCTGGTAGAAGGTTGAAGTCATTCCTTCT